GCGAAGAACTCGTTAAGTATACTGGCCATATCCTTATCACTTGCAATCAACTCCCTCTTTTCATTCATTAGCGGCCCGATCGACTGTTGACACCTACCACTAGCATACTGATAAAAAGCCTTAGGGTTCTTCTTAGCATCGCTAGCCAGCCGTTCCTCGACCTCGACACGTGATATCGAAATGGGCGAAATCGCCTTTTGATATCACTAACAATCTTGAATCTTGAATCTCTTGAAGATGCTTACTGAAGCCACGATGCCATCCTGAAGCTATCTTCCATCAGTCATCCTGGATTGATAGACAATCGTAGCAAGGCTCTTTAGAAATGATATAATATTAGCAGTCTAAAAATAAATCCCAAAAATTAAATTGGTATGAAGGCATTTCATTTCGTCGATGTTTTGTCGCCGATGTTCTGACATGATACCGAAGGAGAGAGCACAGCTGATCTTTGCAGCAGTGCAGCTAAGATGGCGACATGTAGGTAGAAGCACGTGGAAGATGAGGCTTGAAGACTAGCGCAGTGGTTCTAGTTCAGGTTTGGGGCAAAATTGAATATTCCGTTCGCCCTAGATGATGGCAAGAGAAGTCATAGAAGGAAGCACCAAAGAGCATGAACACTGCCGTAGTTGCATAAAAATTAGAAAGTGTACGACAAAAATCAGGGAGGGCTTTAGCTGTGAAATTGTGGAATGCAAATCCTTTTGCGGTGCCACCTTTCATGTGTGTAAACTCAGTGAACATCGACTGCTCTGCAGATTGGAGAAAGTGCCTTGCCTCAATATAGGTAGGTGTACCAGCTTATACATAAGAGCCATCGGCTTGGGTTGACTTTCTGCCCAGCCTTTAATTGGTTCACCATTGTAGTTTAAGTCTATATGAAGCTAACATTCTCATTGTAGCTCATGTTGTACGTACATTGGCTGTATTTATAGAGCTAACAGCTGGGCCTAGGCATATGCTAAAATTGACGTCAAGTTTAACTGATAGGCCTGGATTGTTCAGCAGTTTTCCGATGCCTGCCTGTTACCTATAACTTACAGGGTATGGATGCCCTGTGATATTGGAGAGATGGAAGCTTGGGTCCCATCTTGCTGACTGCCCTGCAAGTGTTGTCGTCTGCCCAGTGGAATGGAACCGATGGAAGTTGACTGTTACTCAGCGTCCTATGCCCCAGTTCAGCAGTCAGGTCAACTATGATCAACTTGGTTAGTTTATGAATTAGAAGTGCTTTCAGTCTCACATAACAGGACTCCCCCCATGAAATTTTTTGCAGTAGGTAATCCTTCAATTGCTAGGACAAAAACTCCAGCAATAAAATTAGGATTTCCTATATGTAATGTCAGAAGGCCGATGAACTAAATTGGAAATTAACGTGTCAACGCACAAGAACACCAACTTCTTCAATGCTGACATAGTTGCATGAACCATACTTTTTATATAATAGTAATTTTGCATGATAAAGGAGTTTATGAATACCTTTCATTAGCTCAAGATTCCAGGATGTTAGTATTGGCATTGCAGCCATCAGCCATTCACAGCTGAGAAATGGGGCTTTAGAAGAAAAAATGGAGATGATGTGGGGAATCCATCATCGAGGAAAAAGGCTATGAGAATTCAAATCCTGTTTCTCTTTTATAGATGTGGCCTTGGCATTGCGGGATCAACGCTCATTGAATAAGGCTCTCAAGCTTCCAAGGCGAGTCCTGAGAGCATTGAGGAGCCCTTTGACATGTCGATATCCTGCAAGTCCACTCATTCTCTCCTCAATAGAGGATCTTGATGATGAAGCTGACAGCTCCTTGTCTCAGCACACCATCACAGAAGATGATGAATTTGCTCCTTGTCAGATTCAAAAGTCACCTCCTGGTAAGGCTCAGTTGAGTTGCAGCTGTCTGGACTAAAAAAAATGTGCTCATAAGTTTTTTTTTGTTGTTGCAGGGCTTCAAAGCAGTGTTTGCAACAGACTGGCATTTCATGACAAGGAATCCTCTCCAAATGATGCTCCAAGTTTGGAGCCTTCTCCAAGAGATGAAGTCCATTGGGAGAAGAATCTTTCTCATATTCCTCCCTTGGCACCTCCATTACCATCTGGAGAGAAGCTAACAGTAGACCTGATAATTGAGAATCGTAGCAAGGATAGTGTGAAATCCAAGTCCATGTATACGTTCCTTTGTGCCCAGGAAGTTCGACGCTCAGACTTCCCCTGGCATTACAAGAATGTGCATGCTGATATTCAGGCAAATCTGAATGGGTGGTTGGAAACACGTTGCCCCATGTGGCAATATGGATGTCGCTTCTGTCTTCGTCGGTTCCATCCTCATGATCCCAGATGGGAGTTGCATTATGATGACTTGCAAGAGAGTTTTGCTGTTGCAGTTCGAAGGGAGACTGTAGCTGGAGAAAAAAATTTGGAACCAGTCCAGGGTTTAAACATTCTCATGCTGCCTTTTGAAATGCTGGTTCACATTTGCTCATTTCTGGATGGCATCAGGTGTGTTTTCAAGTTTTCCTTGTCATGGATGAGAGGAAAGTAATGAATACTTTTTGGATTGTTGTGCAGCTTGAACAATATGGCTCTGACATGTCGGGATATGCGGGAGGTGTGTCGTTCGCTGCTTGAGGAGAAGGGCATTGTCTCACTTGTTTGGCAGAGGATCAGGAGCCCTGAACGCCCTGCTACATGGGAAGTTGCCTACAAGGTGATGTGAATGATTTTTCTTTATTTCATTGCAAGTCGGATTGCTTCATGTTTTTCTATGACTGCTATGAAATTTTATACATTTATAAAGTGAAAAAAAGAATGATTTATTAACCCTATGCATGATAGTTGTGATTTGAAACACATTATAGTTTGGAGCATCTGCTATGCAGTGGATGCTGCTCCTCCAGTGCATCACAGCATCACTGGTGCTGTCCACTGCACGACAGACTCTAATGTGTTTCAAAATACATCTAAAGCATAGATGCATAGGGTGAAGGTAGTTGACCTATTAATACTTTAAGGCTACTTTTTGAATCTCCATTCCTTCCCAGAAACCAAACAGACTACAGTGAAAACTCATTAACTCGATTCCTGATAAGTCAAAATTCTGCCTATCTTGAAGTTCAATGCTTGGTCCCAGCGGAACCCCGTAGGACACCATGTTAAAAGCTCAGTTTAACTCGAATTTGCTTATCTCGAATTTCTGAATATCTCAAATGAAATTTTCACTCCCTATGACAATTTTCTCATGGTTAACTCAAATTCAGGGTGAGAAGGGGGGAAAATTTCTTTTTATGGGACTTTTCGATTTTTGAATAGAATGAATGACAAGAAACCCGTTTGGGAGGATGCTCTTTTATTTCTTTTGTGTTATTTTTTTCTGCTTCTCCCCCTCCCCCTCCCACTTGGCTGCCCTGCCCCCCCCCTGGCCCACTGACATCATGCTGTACTCACTGCCATAAGACTTGCCTGTGGATATTCACCACATGTCAGACATGATGCCATTAACCCATAACTTTTGATATTGTAATACAGATAATATATATTATATGCCATACAATTGATAATATATGAATATTTTCATAAATGCATTAAAAAAATTACATTGGATAGGTGATCAATATTTGACTGTTACAAGGTGTTGAAATGCCTGTCAGCTTTTTTTCAGCACCCCTGCCTTAGTTGTGCCATGCCCATTTATAGGTGAATTAAAGGTGCTTAAAGGTGGATCATTCCACCTCAAGTGAGGTGATTACCTGTGCTCGACCATCTCCGAATTCAATGAATTTAACTTTAAATTTTCAAGGGACAGTTGGATCCAGCTGATATTTGACAGAGAGGTTCATGAGTCTAAGAGGTTTTTTTCACTTCTGTGAGATGGCACTGTATCCTGATAGAGGGCACTGTTGTTGACCAGGTGACCAAGAGTGATTTAAAAAAAGGTCCACTGTTTTCGAAGGGGAGAAAATACAATTTGTGTATTTGAGTAAAAAACATGAGATTCATAAACTCTTGATATTGGACATATAGGAGGTGTTGAAAATATTGTTTTCTTTTTTTCTGAACAATTCTCAAGAGCCATATATTGTCCTGTTACACAGTTTACATGTGGAGCATTACACCTTACACCCTCAGTCACCTGGTCAACGACGCCCTCTATCGGGATACAGCACCATCTTGTGAAAGTGAAAAAACCTCTTAGACTCATGAACCTCTCTGTCAAGTATCAGCTGGATCCAACTGTCCCTTGAAAAGTTAAAGTTGAAAAGTTCATTGAATTTGGAGATGGTCAAGCACAGGTCATTGCCTCACTTGAAGTGGAATGATCCACTTCTAAGCACTTTTATTTTGCCTCTAAATGGGCATTGCATGTAAGTGCTGGGGTGCTGAAAAAAAGCTGACAGGCATTTCAACACTTTGTAGCTGTCAAATATTGATTGGTATTCAATGTAATTTTTCTTGCTGCATTTATGAAGCTGTGTTTCTCCCATAGGAAATGGTAGAGCTTTTTTTTTTAACCACCCTATATATGGTGGTACATGGCAAATACAGGGTGGGCCAAAAAAAACAAAGCTATCATTTTCGGTAAGCTGTCAATCTGATTGTATGCAACTGATTTTGATTACATTTGGTATACAAATAAGGTGACTCGATTAGAGTTTGTGTGCCAAATTTCAAATAAAAATTTCAAAAACTGTGAGATTGGTGTTTAATTTACATTTTATTACCAAAAATGTAAGAGTGTTCATTTTTTCTTTCAGCTTTAAAGTTCTCACAACTGACAGAAACAAACAAGAAAGCAAACAGAACAAAAACAGATGCACAAATACCAAACGTGAGATCACACAATTTGGTTTAGGGACGTACATTTCAACTGAAAAGGTGCTCAATGTGCCCTCCATTCTATTGAACACAAGCCTGTAGTCTGGGACACCACAGATCAATGGCTTGGTCAATAAACCTTTGAGGCAGTTCCTCCCAATCTTCCTTTGTAGCATCATGCAGGGATGGAAGGTCAATTAATTCAGATCTCCATTTCATCCTGGCCTCAGAGTTATATCAATATTTTTGACAGCACATTTTGTTGTTGGTCATCAGAAAATAATTACAACTCCTATACTTTTAAAGCCAGATGGCTGAAATTTGGTATACAAACTCCAATTGTGTTACCCTATAAGCCTACCAATTTTAATGAAAATCCACAGCCTACAAAGAGATTGACAACTCTTAAAAAATGATAGCTTTGCTTTTTTTGGCCCACCCTGTATATGATCATACATGGCCATATACACCCAGTCATATATGGAATTTTCACGTGGGTATATTTTGTAACATAGGTTTTCCCATGACTTATTCTTAGGGGGTCATCCTGTTTTCAGCTGTGGTTCAGAAAGGATTCTCTTGATCACCTCTTGTGACTACCTTCATTTTTAAAAATTTTATTTACATACCAACATACAGTGCGAGCATATGTTAACACAGACCCTGGGTCAGTAGATAATTAGATATTTAACCTATTCAATGCAGTGGAGCATCAATTCTGAGCTAACCAATACCAAGGGGTGTTTGGAAAAGCAACATGTTCAGATACTCAAGTAAATAAAATTTAATGCAATTCTTATGACCTTTGAGAAGTGGCAGACATGGTCAGCTTGTCACTTTATTTTTTAGTTCTGCTTGTCCTCAGTTGCCATGGCAACCCAATTTTTAATTTCTCTTGCTGTCCATGTATTTCCCCTAAAAGCTAATATGTAAAAAACTTTTTCAATATATCACCTCTATTGCTGAAATGAATGTAAAATCTGTCCTGACAAAGTTCCTGTTTTCTCCTCAGCTACTCTATTGCATCATCCTTGAGCTTGCTGGGCAGCCAAGAAGGCATTAAATGGATAGCATCAATGGCTGAATAGGCTTCACCTTAGTGGAGGCCTCTAGAACTGGTGATAGGATTGGTTGACAGGTTTGTTCACTGTATGACCAGCCCTCACCTGGGGAACTTGAGAACAGAATCAGAATTGAATATTACTTTCTTTTGGCCTAGCATTTAAGTTGTGACATTTGGTTGTAAAGTGTGTTGACCAGTGGATCAGTTGAAAAACTTGTTTGTGCATGGGATAGTACTCTAGTTCTTTCTTGGCCTAATATGTTCAGATGACTGAGGGCATTGATACTTTGTTATAGGGTAGAGCCACCTAAGTTCAGACACTCTAATGTTTATCGTTAATAAATATGAATTCACGAGATTGACATCAGAGAGAGTTCTTTTTAACCCAAGTTGACCATTTTACTAAGCAAAAGACTTGCAGTGGCCACAATCATTGTGAACTTTTTTGAAAAATCGGGCAGAAATGAATGTCATGTCATGAATTGGAGAAATTCAAGAAAATGTATGGAGGCAACCTTACTTAACACTTCCTACACTGTATTGTTAATACTGTGATCAATTCTTATTCCACAGGAAACTAGGGAAGGGAACAAGGGGATACCCATGTCATGAGCAGATTTCTACCTTACTTCTGGTGCATCCTAACTACATTGTGTTTGAACTTCATTTTTTTGCATCCAAGTTCGGACACACAAGTAATAGGAGTTTTTGGAAGCTATAAGGCTTTGATGGTCATCATCTTTATCAAACTCATACCTACTCATATTGTGTTGTTGGGTGCAAAAAAATGAAGTGTCTGGGTTGTACCATTGAGGCGTGATGAGCAAGTACAATCCCATCCTGGCTTAACTGTCAGAACATTGGTGGTTTTACCCTAATGTGCCCAACTAATGATTCCAAACGTCTTTCAGGAAAGAGCCCACCTCGAAGTAACATGTATTGTTCATGAGTTATGCCTACAGCATCATGTGCATAGTTGAGTGTAGAACCTTTGTCATTTTAGTGGCATGTGCGTTACTTATTGCATTGCAGAGCTGGAGATTCAGCTGCTCCTTTGATCCAGTTCATCACTGGGGTTTTGAAAACCATTCTGTCTCCATGACACAGCACCTCACTGCTTGTCCCATCTACCAAAGGTTTTCCTCTTTTCTGCTATCCATATTAATTTTTATTATTGAAAGATTCAGAGCTCCTCTCTCAATTCTTGGCAGGTTTTCACATAGAGCAGAAGAGAAATTCTCATATGTTGAGTGCCCATCAACCATTTAATGAAGTGGAATTGGTGAGTCTTACATTTAAGTCCATATTTCATATACCTTTGCTTGACATAGGGGGAACCAATGAAGCTAGAACACTTCAGGAATGTGAAACTTGACTCACTAAAGGTATTGGCTACTTGTTGAACTTGCACTCTGGTGATTGAACTCATCTTCCAGTAGTTGCAACTCAGAGCAGAGTCATTCAAGTCAAGTTGCAACATCCACAATTACATAGTGTCACATTTCAGGGGGGCCCATACACCTGTTTTTTGTCACTGAAGATTTATTCCTACCATGACTTGACCCTTGAAAACAGGTGGTTTCAGAGAGGGGTGAAACAATGTGATTGCCCCCACTGGACTGGCCATTATGGGCTCTGAGAACCATAGGATGTGATAATTAGACCAAAAAATTGTTCAAGTTTCGTTGGTTTTCCTATAACACGACATTGAGAGCAACAGAATTGTCTCACTGCCAGGATAATCAATGTCAATGGGTTTGGAGATCCTGCATTCAAATGTAGTCAATCCATTTTTACCCAGAAAAGCTGGTACACTTGACTCTCAGTAAAACAAACATGAA